TCACGAGGCGTGCGCGCGGGCTCGCGTCATATTTTCCGCGTCCGAGTATCGAATTAATATAGTATCGGATTAACATGACATCGTCCGTCGCGCGCGCGGACGCGCCGGAGCGACGTTATAATCGCGTTTTTACCAAGTTTCGCGCGGAAAGGCGAAGTAACGAGAATCCGTTCTGAGACGCGTTTTAAGACTTTACTTTGTCCCGTAGATAAAAGCCCGCGTCGAGTTGGAAATTCGATTCATTAATCTGGCCGCCGCGAAACGACCGCGAAATCGATCGAGAGCCTCGCCGGCCGCCGCCGCGGAAATTGGGACGGAACCCCCGTCGGGGTTGGCCGTCGAGGGTGGCGGCTGAGGTGAGAGAAGGAGAGAGAGAGAGAGAGAGGGAAAAAGAACTTCCTTCGGCGACTTTATTTAACCCAACTTTACTCCGCCGGTCGGTCGGTCGGTCGGTCTGTCGGTCGGTCGGTTTACGACTCTCTGAATACAGCCGGCTAATTAACGGCGCTTCCTTAGCGAGCAAACTGGGAGTAGCCAATTTCATTTCCGCTTCTTCTCCCCACTCTTTCGCCTCTTTTTTTTCCATCCACCCCCTCCTCTTCTTTATTTCACTGTCGGTTAAGCGGTCGCGCTCTACGTGATTCAGGGTTACCGCGAACGAGCGTCCGTACTGCGGAATATCCGCGGCGGCCACCGCCGCCGCTACACGCAGTCTCGTGTAGGAGAATCCGCGTATCTTTTTATTCTTCGTCCACCACCAGATGATGCCACCTGGACCAACGCGTCTCGGCAAGAAGGAATCTCGTCGTTCCTTCTCGTCCCCCCCCCCCTCCCCCTCTTTCTTCCAAGGAGAAGACTCCGCTTCCCTCCGCTGTCTCGGAGTTGTTACTTTGTTGTTGAACGCGAGTGCCGCGTTTCGATGATTAATCTACCCGGCGCATGGAAAATTGATATATACGTTTAACGTGACGGCCGGCAAGGCTCTTCAATTTTCGCGAACTTTGCTATTCATTACCTCTCTCACTACTTCTACCTCCTCCTCCCTCCCGCCTCCCTCGACCTGTCCACCGCCACCTGCGCTCTCACTCCGCTTTCCGTCGTGGATGGTTTCGTTATAAATGCCGCGTGTTAACGCTAATATCCCGATACGTTCGCTACACCCCCCGCGTGTAGGAGAGCGCGCAAACCGAATGGGAGTGATTCTGTCTCTCGAGTCGACCCGATTATATTCGGCTTGCCGTTGTGTGGACGGACTTGCGTCCGTCTATGAACCGGTACAAACACGAACCTCTTCGCGGGCGTGTCAATCAAACAGCCAATATTTTGGGCTCATTTTTACGGAGGTGAGGCACACACGAGGTGCGAAACGTCGTCGGATCTCGCGTGTCAATTCATCGAGCGTGCAGCGCTAAAATGACATCGAGAGAGGAGAGAGAGAGAGAGAGAGAGGTAGAGGTGAGAGGAGGGAATGTCTTCTCGAAATATTTCTCAAGTTTGTCAACGTTATCGTGTAATGAGACGAATCTATCGCGCGGGAGAGAGAGAGTTTCGACGGAACGCGGAGCTGCTTTAACGACCTGATTAAATTGACGTATTCTCAGGCCGGTTGCTTTTAATTAATCGGAGTGATGTTTCAATCGAGCGAGCGGGTAAATCACGGACGAGTTACGGACGAGGTGGCAGGACAGCGGTTGTGAAAAAGCGAAAGAACCGGAGACCGTAGGAGGAAGAGCGGCCGGCGCCCGGCTATAAGCGAGTCTCGCGCGCGAGTCTGACGCGAGAGCGTGGAGGAGAGCACGGTGGTTTCCCTCGTTAAGGGTCGTAAATAATGGCGATGGCGACGATAACGAGGCAATTTACGCGCACGCTCTCGTTGCCACGTTTTAGCATCGACGTCACGGCAATTTGAATTTTTCGCGAATTTGCGATCTTTATGCTCGGAACACTTGCGCGAACGAAGGCTGGCTCCCGGCTAGCGCTCTCCTCGCCCAGAGAGGGAGAGAGAGAGAAAGAGAGAGAGAAAGAGAGAGAGAGAGAGAGAAAAAGCTCGTCGGAGAGCAGGACTTCCCTTCCCCGATCGATCGGCGATAAACGAGTTATAATAGCGTAGTAACGTTCGGATGTTTTATCATTTATATGAGACCCGGGATAAAGACGGTCGGGCTGACATTTGGCCGACGTTGACTTTCAAAAACGGCTGGAACATTTTCCATCGAACGCAATTCGAAACGTAACCGACGCTTCTCTCCGATTCTCCGACGAGGGAATTTTTCTTGGATTAATTCCCGGAAGTTGAGTTCTCTCATTGAACCGTCGAACTGCGTTCCGAGTAATGTCGAAAGAAGTTTCGGAGAAAAGAATCTTACCTAATATAATAAGAGCCAGGTTATACTTTAGGCTCTTACAGGGACTTTTTCTAAACTTTGATTGGATATCGATAGAGCCGTCTTAGGCTATTTTTCGGAAAAATGTGTTCGAACCGTTTTGGTATCTAGTCCGAGTAGAATAAATCAGTCACGAGGATATCCAAGTGGCATCATTCCGCGATCATATTTCACGCAGAATCGTGACGTCAAAATAGCCCAGAAGTATGTTTATTCGTGACGTCAGAAGTAAAAATTATCGTAATTGACTGAAAACGCAGTTAATACCAATTGAATTTTGAATTGATTTTTAATCTCGGTATTCTACAAACTGTTACAATAACGTGCATATGATAACATTAAATTTTAATATTCCCGAGTAGAAGAAAAAGTCATATAAAAGTCAAGATAACGTCGGAGTGATGGTATCATCTTGAATTTTATTTGTTTTTTGTTTTACATTCGAGACACTCCAAATACTCCGCGAGGATCGCAGAAAAATTATCACTGATTACGCGATCAGCAACTAAACGTTATTGGGAGCATCGTGGAGTCTTGTAAAACCCCACGTCATCATTGAGTTCAGCTTCAAGCTGATTCTTGACGCTGATATTGTGACGTTTCCGTGATTAACTTGTTCTTGTACTTGGGAATGCACTTCGGTATTCGACGGTTCGAGAGTATGTCGCCCAACGGCGTAATTATTTGTCGCGATGTAAAGTGGCAATTTGTTTTCTCTTTGCTCGTTGCTGCTTACTGTGCCGGCATCAGGGTCGCGGAAAGCTCCGTGATGGGAGACAAGTGGATTTTCGGATGCGGTAAAAATAGAATCCCGCCGTGTATATACTACCACCAGCGCGAGTCCTCGTGCACCTTCTTCGAGGTAACGTTGAGATTTCAGAATTTAGAAACGTTCGATCTATACAGGGACGACTGTCTGCGCGACCTGCGGAAATCTCGTTGAATTTTATATTACGTATTGTCGGCCAACGAGACCCGTGCCGGATACATGAAATACGCTGACGTTCGACCTGATTCGGACGACCCTCTCGTACGGAAGGGCCCTAATTTCAAATTCGACAATTCGGCCGTTCGAATTGGAGCGCGGACTTAATAAATATTAATCCTGCAATACTCAGCGAATGGCCATATGGCCGCGGCGTGCGGGCATTCCGCTCGCTAATGGTCTCCCCGCTCATTTATACCAGCCGGGACCGAGATCGCCTAATTTCTCAGAAAGTATAAGACAGATATGAACAATTTAAGCTTCGGAATGATTGAAAGTACTTAGGAGTAAGGGAGAGTTTCCGGGCGATAACCCATCGCAGGCAGACTCGCACTGGCGATATCAAACCTCGCGAGCTTGAACTTTTTCAAGCGGGCCGGAAGTGAGGTGCGTTAATTAATGAAGCACTCGGACTTTCCGTCTACAATTTTCCACATTGACGTTAACCGGAAGCTATGAGAGATAGACAAAGATGCTACATAATCGAAGTGATCCCGTTTTTCACTCTTCAAGGTCTGCTACGTTCCGATCGCGTACATCGAGTGGACTGCTGGTCGCGCGAAAGCACGTTAATCCGGAGCGTTTCGCGAAAAAAAAAAAAAAAAAAAAAGAGAGGAGCGAATCTGCGGAAATCCGAAAAGAAACAAGAAAAAAATTGAAAAGACCCCTCCCCTCGCATTCTTCCTCCCGGGAGGAATAACGTAACGTTCGGTTATCGGCTTCTCGACGCACAGAAAATCTGTGCGCCTCGAAGGGTTAACAGGTTCGTCCGACGTTGGTGCGCGCGCGAGGAATTAGCTGGGCGATCGACGATACCACTCTGGCGGAAACGCACAGGCGCAAGTCGCTTATTTCGCGAGAGACGAGTCGCGTGGGTGACGTCTGCCTCCGGCAGCCTCGCGGAGGGACAAAGAACGAGACGGGGGAGGGGAACGAGACAGAGAGAGAGAACAAGCGACCGAGGAGGGGTGGGGAAAGAGAGAACAAGGGTCTCCCTGCACAGCAAGAGCGATCCTCTTTCTCCCTCGGCAGCTCTCGTTGGCCCTTCTCTTGCTTGTACGCGAGGGAGGACAGGCAGGCAGAGGCAGGAGCGAAGGGTGGCGCGTGTGTCTGTGTGCGAGGGTGTAGAGATGCGGTACCGAAGGCGCAGCGGCGGCGGCGAGGATGTGGAGCACGAGCCGGCACGAGCTCGCGAGAAGATGCTGCGTGCACGAGGAAGAAGCAGGATAGAAGGCTCTATCGTGGAACGGCGGGAGGTGGAGAGGGATGGCCAGGGGAAGGTGAGAGAGAAAGAGAGAGAGGGAGAGGAAAGCCGGAACGACCCGGGGGTTGCCGTGGCGTTATCGACCGTGCCGCTGGTCGGTATCAAACCAGGCGTCGGCGCCGTTCGGTGTCCTGGCTTCCTCGAGTGCCGGACCATCCTCCTCCTTCTCCTCCGCCGCCACCACCACCACCATCACCACCACCGGCAACGTCGTCGTCACCACCACCACCATCAGCATCACCACCACCGCCACCACCACCACCACCACTACCACCGTCGCCACCAGGAGCAGCAGCAGCAGCACCAGCATCGCCACCTCCACGGAGGTCGCGCACGGCTGGCCCTCGCGCGTTAGTAGAGCCCGGGACAGACAGTCGATCGCGCACGCCAAGGGTGCGGGTCGTTCTGGGGGTTGGTGGTCGGTTCGGGTTTGGCCAGTCGGATTCGGCGGTTGGTGGAAGTACGGGTAGTTTGGTAGTTCGCGCTGCCTTCGCGGCAGGTTCGGTATTCCTCGGTCGCGACGCGAGAAAGAGAGAGAGAGAGCGGCGCTCCTGAAACTCCCGCGATTCTCTCAGCGCGTCGCTCGGCGATCGAAGGGACGCGTCGTGCAGGATGTGCAGGAGGATCTGAGAGCGGCGAGCGTATCCGCGAATTGACAAACGGTCTCTCTCTCTCTCTCTCTTTCTCTCTCCCGAACGGAGCGGAAGCGTTCCCGAGCGGCGACGCGTCGGTTCGCGCGTCCCATCGCGCCGTCGGGAAACTCGCGGATGATGCGAGGCGGCGCGTCGGATGGATCGAAACACGTCGTGCCGCTGGTGCGTGTGCCGCCGGAAGAGGAACGGTAGAGTCGAATTCGCCGGCTCGCCGGAGGAAGTCGTCGTCTGTGACTCCCCGACACCGGAGTGAACCGTCCGGGATGGACTGTGTGATACGGGGTGCGAGAAGACGAGGCTAGAGAGAGAGAGAGAGAGAGAGGGAGACAACGAGGAGTTGGATTCGTTACGGCACGCTCGGCGTCACGGTGCGTTTTCCCACGCTCGCACCTCGATTGTGCTCGATGTTTCCGCTCGATGATTAGGCTAAACGGATGATTACCAGGCTCGGTAAGGACGGAGGAGCAGGCGCGCTTCGGATAATTCGCGAGCCGACACCGTGATCGGTTGATACGCGGATTTTCCCGTCGCACAGATTCCGATGATGCGCCCTCGAATATACACTCGCGAGAATCGGAGCATCTGTCCGGCGGAACCATGACGGGTCGCAGGCCGCATTCGGCTCTCCGCTCGCGAGCCGCGATAAGCGCGATACCCGCTTGTCTCCCCCTCCCCTCCCCTGCCCTGCCCGATGCTATTTTAATCTCCCGCTCTAATCTAATTCTTTCGCGTGGATTAGACAATCATAATAAGCTATTATTATTATCTCGTTGTGAAATCGCGGCAGATAATTGTTTCACGCTCGGTAATTAAGGAGCGTTAAAATACTAATTACGCGCCGAAATGCGCCGTTATGATATTAACAATAATATTACCGCACGCCCGAAAACGGCGCGCGCGGTATGCAAAATACAAGCGGGACGACTCGATAATGAGTAATTCGATAGAAAGGGTTCTCTAATTAGCCGGCGGAGAAATAAATAAATCTCTCTCTCTCGGTGAATCGCGGGCTTCGCGGAATCGAGAGCCGATGAGGCGAAAAATGTGAGTCTTTGTGAAATATAACGTTCGATGCTTCGATTTTTTTCTTTTTCTCGCGAAATCGCGAGATCGGATTCTCGGTTTGTTCCGTCGAACGTTCTTCCCCCGTTCGCCGATTACCTGCCACCTATTTCCGGCGCTGCGTGCTGCTATCGGGTATTAAATAGAACGACGAGGTGACGATGAGAATGGAAACGCGAAGGCAGGCGATCGAGCTACGATGCTAATCCCCGACATTAAAGATTAAGAATTCGTAATCTCGCGAGATGACTCCCCCGTCGTGGTTCCCCCATCGCTTCGTCCATTTCTTGCGCCGTGCACTCCGGTCGACCCGCGCGCAAAAATGCCGTCCTGTCACGCGGGCAATTTCCGCGCGACAATATATCGGCGTTTTTGGCGGAGCGCTCATCAAAGATCCGTTCTCTCGTCGGCCGCGCAGAGCGGACGGCCCGTCTCGATAATTCTCCGTAGATCGATCCGGAAACTTCGAACTTACCGGTTCCGCCGGCGAATTATTAATCATCCGCTCGTCCCCCGGCAATTAGCGCGAGCTTGGAATTTAATTTCGTCGCGCGGCCGACATTCTCTCCGTGATTATGATTCGTCGTCTCCTTTTCGTTCGTTCGCACGTTCGTACGTTGAATGGCACGAAATCGGAGGCGCAATCCAGCCGATAATTCGCTCCTCTTTCGAAGTCGGCAGTGCGCAGCTCCGTCGGACGGCAGGCTTCCCCGCCGTTCGCTCGGGGAATCCGATCCGCGGAGTACTTGGAAGACAAGTCGTGCTAACTTGGGAATCGAGATACTCGAGAGATCTACGCGCTACAGTCGCCCCCGTCGCGCGTCCCCCCCC